TGCGTGGTGATCCTTCGACTTGGCTAGATTCAAAATCGTCCTCACAGTCTTTGTTAAACCCAATCCGGTTTTTAACTTACTTGGCGAGCCAGATTTGTGTCTAATTATTTATTTGTTGAATTTACTGATGACTTTCCAACCAGCTCTCCAAATTATCTTCATTATCTGCTTACATCAGAAGTGAATAATAGGAACTGAAGCCCACCAAGGAGGGGAATCAGAATGAGTTTAAGGGGCGGAAAATACTTAACTGAACCAGGAATTGGGTATGCCTAGTGGACATGGCAGCAGCCCTCCAATATTTGAGGGGCTGCCCCAAAGAAGAGGGAGTCAAGCTTTTCTCCAAAGCCCCTGAAGGCAGGACAAGAAGCAACGGGTGGAAACCCATCAAGGAGAGAAGCAACCTGGAACTAAGGAGAAACTTCCTGACAGTTAGAACATTAACCAGTGGAACCACCTGCCTCCAGAAGCGGTGAATGCTCCAACATTGGAGGTTTTTAAGAAGAGACTGGACAGCCACTTGTCTGAAATGGTATAGAGTTTCCTGCCTGAGCAGGGGGTTGGACTAGAAGACCTTCAAGGTCCCTTGGAGGAGTCTCGACAAAGAAGAGGGGGTCAAGCTCTTCTCCAAAGCCACTGAAGGCCGGACAAGAAGCAACAGATGGAAACTAACCAAGGAGAGAAGCAACCTAGAACTAAGAAGGAATTTCCTGACAGTGAGAACAATTCATCCGTGGAACGACTTGCCACCGGACGTTGTGGGTGCTCCATCAGTGGAGGTTTTTAAGAGCAGATTGCACAGCCCTTTGTCTGAAATGTTATAGGGTTTCCTCCTTGAGCAGAGGTTAGACTAGAAGACCTCCAAGGTCCCTTCCAACTCTTGTATTCTGTTGTTCTGGTTGGCTTACACCCCCAAGGTCTTCGCCAACCCGGGAAACGCGCGTCTTCTGCCTTAAAACTTTGGGAGGGCGATCCGAACTCGGTACTTACCAAACAACAGAGTTAGCAGGGCTATCGGCATCACAAAGAGCCCAACGAGGAGATCGGCCACCGCTAAAGACATCAAGAAGTAATTGGTCGCATATTGTAATTTTTTCTCCAAAGATACGGCCAGTATGACGAGGATATTCCCTCCGATGGTGGGTATGATGACGATCAGGGTGAGCAGGCCGGCCCAGCGTAGCATATTCCATTCTCCAGGGTTGATCTGCGCAGATCCATCGCTGAGGTCAGATGTGTTCCAAGGCAAGTCCATCTTGGTGACCAGGGCTTAAAATTGATATCTTATTTAAACATTTCCCAGAATCTGGACACTTGGTCTTCCTAGGCAGCCCTCTAGGATTTTCATGAACGACCAGCATGATGTAAACGTCTCATTGGACCTGGTCCAGTCGATGCTATCTCCAGTTTTCTGTCCAGATCCTTCCTCGAAAAGCCACCTAAATTTAAAAATCTGTGCTTGCTAGCCCTTGGCCCATTTGTATCTATAGATCCTCGTCCTCGGGCTAATAATTGTGAAAAAGAATCCTTTAAAGATCAGTGGTTGTCGAAGAGCGAGGTTGCAAACAACTCTTGGATCTTCTTCGCATCCGGATCCCGAACTTGTTCCGAAGAGATCTCTCTAAGTAATAAAAGCAGTGATTTATAATTATTACACAGAAATGCAAAGGGTTTGGCTTTTGTCGAAAATAACAATGCAAAGTTGGGTCATTATAATCCGATCAGTGGCGAAATAAAATAAAAATGTATTCTCTCCACTCCTTTTCCTCAATCGTCGACATGCGTTGAGTTCCATTTTTTAATTTTTTTTTATGTTGAATTTGGTTTTTTTTGGGGGGGGGGAAAGATTGCCATCCATATTTTCTGGTGGAAAACAAATTGTACAAATATCACTTCAGGAGGTTATGGACGCCAACGCTATAATTCTGTACCTGTCAGTTCACAATTAATTGTTTTTTTTATATATATATTCCACGGGGCTTATTCTACGTAAGGGAATGTAGGTTTTTCACCCCCGAAACTATTATTATCGTCAGTTATTTATCTGGCTTGGAAAATAGTAATTACTGGCCAGGGGTGGATTGTACAGTTCTCAAATAAAATGTCAAATCCTACATTTAAGCCCCTCTCCACAATAAATCTACAGGGGACCTTTTGAGACATTCTTCCTTCTACCGAAGATAAATTTCCTTCCGACTTTTGGTCTTTCCCCCGTTATTATTTTGACAGTCCTTTCAGCCTCCCAAATTTGATCCCATTCTTATTCTGCCTTCTCACCCCAAGAATTACCGCCCCGTAGCTAAGAATCGGCAAAGTCTTACCTGGATTTTATTTATTTTTTCCTCCCTCTCTCTCTCTCTCTCTGGAATTTAAAAGAATTCTCTTAGTCCTTAAACTGGAGACATCTCTTCCCCAAAGCGTCCCGGGAATGTGCCGGCTTCTGGTTTATAACACTGGATTTTTATTTTGTTTTTTTAAAATTTTTATTAAAAAAAAGACTTGTCTTGAGATTGCCTTGCGTTCTTCAACGCCACCCGCTACTTCTGGCGATGGAGATTTTCTTCTAGCGCGGTCAGCTTCTTTGCAAGGTTGTGATTGCCTGCTGGGGTCAGGTCCAGGAGGAGGAGGAGGAGGAGGAGGAGGAGGAGGAGGAGAGCACTTGAACGAAAGGTTCCCTCCCCTGGTCTGGCTGTCATTTTTATTTTTATTTTTTAGCAATTTTAGCTATTTCTACATTACTTGATGGATGCTTCCCAGCCCTGCCTTGCTGTCTCTGCACAGCTTTCCGTGTGTGTCCGCCGGCTCAATTTGCAAGCCTGCCTAGAGCATCTGCCGATGGACTCGCTCAGCGCTTCCAGCTTCGGAGCAAAGTTAGGAAGGACTCAAGCCGGAGATTCCCACCCGCTCCCTCCCTCCCTCCCTCTCTCACCCTTCTATAATTTTTTTTTTAACAGCACACATTGTTTGCGCTGGTTTTTCCGGCACTGTTTTCGCCCGCAGATGATGCAGCCTTCGGTCCTTCTTCGCGGCTTCGGAGAGCGAGCAAAAAAAAAGCATTTTATTTGTATTTTTTTTGCACCAGGAGACAAGGGATAAATGGTTACTACGGGTAGTTCTTGGCTTACAACCCTTCGTTTACTGACCGTCGGAAGGTGCAACGGCACGGGAAAAAGGGACTTCTGACCGGTTTGCGTGCTTAGGCGACCGTCGCGGCCTCCCCGCGGCCATCGGATCGGAATTTGATTTGGCGGTCCGGGATTGCGGCGCTGGGCGACTGTCTCGCGTTTAGCACGGTCGCCTTGTCCGGGGGGGGGAATCATGTGATCACCAGTTGCAACCGTGCCGGCCGACTTCCCCCAAGTGGAGTCAGCGGGGAAAGCCCAATTTGCTTTACAACGTTGGCAAAAAGTGGTCGTAAAACGGGGCACAGCTCGCTTGCTTAGCCGCGGAAAGTTTGGGCTCCGTTGTCGTAAGTCGAGGATTGCCTGCATTTTGGCAAATGGGGCACCATTTTGATTTATTGGATTTTTTAAAGCCCGCTTGTATTATTTTTACGAGCAACTCCAGGTGGTGAACGTACGTTATTCCTCCCTTCCTCTTTCTTCCTCCTCCTCCTGTTTCACCCACCACAACAGCCCTGTGAGGTTGGTTGGGCTGAGGTGTTATCTGGGGTCCTGGGAGCTGCCTGAGCTGGGTGGTGTCCCTGCAGACGTTTCGTGACCCAACTAGGGAACATCTTCAGGGCTAGAAGTGAGGGGGGGGTCTGCTCTCATTTTAGCCTGTCCTGTCAGTATTGGTGGGGGTGGTCTTGAGGGTTCCTCGGTTAGGCTGCTTGTCTGAGTTGGTAGTTGGTAGAGAGAGCAAACCCCACTCCTTTCTAACACTGATGATGCTCCCTAGTTGGGTCACGAAACGTCTGCAAGAAAACAGCGAAGCACAGAGAGCACGAAGGACCCCACAGTCCCTTCCTCCTCTTCCTCTTCCTCCTCCTTTTTTTTTCCCTCCTCGTCTTCCCTCTTGCACTGATGATGCTCCCTAGTTGGGTCACGAAACGTCTGCAAGAAAACAGCCAAGCACAGAGAGCACCAAGGACTGCACAGTTTTCCTCCTCCTCCTCCTCCTCCTCCTCCTCCTCCCTCTTGCACTGATGATGTTCCCTAGTAACGAAATGTCTACAAGCCAAGCTCAGAGACCCCCAAGGACCCCACCTCACATGGGCTTCCAAACCACCACAAAGTGCCTATTATACACAGAGGATAATACTCAAACGTGAGCACCCTTGCAGTGTACGATGCCAGGAAAGAAACGAACAAGGCCCATCCATGTGTTTTGGAGAAGTCAAAAGGAAATTATTCCTAGGCAGCAAAAACAGTGGGAGCCTTAAAGGAAGGATTATAACATTTCAATGATAAAGGAAAAGCCGGAATAATTAAAAGCAGGGATTTTTTTTTGGGCAGAGCGTTTACATTTTGTTTGGCCCATTTCTCCTTCCGTGCCTCTGAAAAAACAGCTACTTGGGGTTAAATGCAGAAGGCGAGCGCGCAAATTAAATCTAGTCACCGGGCTCCGTTGTGTGTGTGAGTTTTTTTTACCTGCTGGCAATTCCTCTTTGTCCTCTTCCTTAAAAATGTAAATTATTTTCAGGGGGAAAATGGGTTGTTGTGTCTTTTCGGAAGGGAAGAACCAAAAGGACGTAACTTCCTATTTGCCTTTATTTCCTCTGGTCAAGTAGATATAAACCAGTGGTTCTCAACCTTTTTAATGCCGCGACCCCAACCGTTCGTAAGTCGAGGACTAAACCGGTCATAAGTCGAGGACTAACCTGGTCGTAAGTCGAGGACTAAACTGGTCGTAAGTCGAGGACTGCCCAACCGGTTGTAAGTCGAGGACTTTCCCTGCCCGGGAGCGCCGCGCATGTGTGGTTCCGCCCCCTGCGCCGGGCGAGGCATAGTTGGCAAGCGGCAGCAGGCCGACCACCAGCTGGCCCAGCCCAAGGGAGGTAAGGCACCCGCCGGAAAAGGGGAAAAAATGGCGGACAAAAAAAATGGCGGACAAAAAAAAATGGGGGACAGCCTTGCTTGGCGACCCCCATGAAATGGTCGATCGACCCCAAATGGGGTCCCGACCCACAGGTTGAGAACCACTGATATAAACAGTCCTTGACTTATGACTGTAACTGAGCCCCAAATTTCTGTTGCTAAGTGAGAACGTTAAGAGAGTTTTGCCTCGTTTGATGTCCTTTCTTGTGACCGTCATTAAGCGAATCACTGCAGTTAAGTTAGTCACACGGTTCTTAAGTGAAACCGTCTTCCCTGTTGGCTTTGTTTGTCAGAAGGTCACAAAAGGGGATCACCTCACACACACACACACTCACACACACACACACACTGCGACCGTCATAAATGTGAGTCAGTTGCCAAATGTCTGAATTTTGATCACGGGGATGCTGCAACGGTCGTAAGTGTGAAAAATGGTCACAGGTGCGGTCGCAATTTAGAACGGTCCCTAAACGACCTGTTGTAAGTCAAGGACCACTTGTAGTTCCTCCCTAATTACTCACCGCATCACGTGTTGTGATATCTAGATATTGTGCTGCTATATCCCATCACATTTATATTATAATTTGCAGGAGTCTGTATATAGAAAGCTTGTATTTCCACCCTTTTTTTTTTTTTAAGTTAGGGCTCACTGCTTCCCAGTAACGACATGAAACAATTTATGCTTCCATTAAATTGTGCGTTGATCTCCAATTTCAAACAGACTCTTGGGGAAATCTGGGAGAGAAATTTATCCTACAAATAATAATAATAATAATAATAATAATAATAATAATAATAATAATAATAATAATAACAACAACAACAACAACAACAACAACAATAAAAAAGTTGGAAGGGACCTTGGAGGTCATCTAGTCCAACCCCCTGCTCAGGCAGGAAACCCTATACCCTTTCAGACAAATGGCTGCCCAGTCTCTTCTTTAAAACTTCCAGTGTTGGAGCATTCACCGCTTCTGGAGGCAGGTTGTTCCACTGGTTAATTGTTCTCACTGTCAGGAAGTTTCTCCTTAGTTCTAAGTTGCTTCTCTCCTTGATGAGTTTCTCCATCTGTTGCTTCTTGTCCTGCCTTCAGGTGTAGAATAGAATAGAATAGAATTATAGAATAGAATTATAGAATAGAATTATAGAATAGAATAGAATAGAATAGAATAGAATAGAATTATAGAATAGAATAGAATAGAATAGAATAGAACGT